TGTAAACCCAGCATTCTTTCCTGCCTATGCAGGGGGTCGGACTCGATGATCTATTGAGGTCCCTTCCAACCCTAACATCTATGAATCTATGAATCTCCGAAACGAAACAGAACCATCCAAAATGTTTCAGAGAGTTTTGGAGGTGGGCTTGCAGGGAAACAGAAACTCAGAAGAGGGATGGGGAAGAGTGGGGAAAGGACTGCTCTGATATTGACATCTGTAGCTGGCCAGTGACTGTGATCCTTCCCTGAGGTCCCTTCCAATCCCAGTGCTCTGGGGGAGGAATGGAGAAAAAACAAATAAGGCTGTTTGTGAACTGCTCTCTGCCTTTTGTGATATTTGTCTCTTGCAGCATCAGCAGCAGATCACAGCATCTAAAGGGTCTAGGCTGGTAGCAGTAGGTAGTCTGTTGCTACCAGGTTGTAGCCAGCCATTAGCCAATCCTTTCCCACTTACCCTTGCCTACCATCCCTGTTGTTAATCCCTTTCAAATATTTCTTCCCAAAAAATCCTGTTATTTATTCTTGTTATTTTTTTTTTCACCCTAAACAAAAAGAAAACTGTGTTTTACCTGGCAGTGTCTCATCACTGTTCAGGAGAGCACTACACATAAACACACACAGACGCACATTTTCCAGCACACCAAAATGAAGTGTGCTGGAAAGGCAGGTGCCTGGCCTTCTGGAAGGGGGGTGGCAGAGGGGCCAGAGGGAAAGCTGCAAGTTCCCCCCTCCCCCAAACATATGTACCCTCTTCCCTAGCATCCATGAAGCTTCTATTGCTAGTGGGAGCCAGGACATGGGAGCAGTGTCTGCACCTGCCCCACCTCCACTAACACCAGCAATAATAATAACCCACAGCACCACCAGCATGACAAGCACCAGCATGACAGTCTCCACTCCAATTTCAGTTCCCAGCCTGAGCCTTCCAGTGCCAGAGGAGGAGCTGGATCTGGAAGCAGTGGAGCTGAGTACCATAGCGAGAAGTTCTGAGGAAGGAGGGGGAATCTGAGTTTGTGCTTCACACCCCTCAAAGTTCCCCTAAAGCCAGATCTCCTTCTCTGGAAGGCACCTTGGAGGTGGGTGTGGGTGCAGTGGCTCAGCTTCCCCTGTCATTGTGCCTCTGCCTGCTGAGGAGGGGGATAAGGCAGGATCTGCACCCACACCGCAGAAGCAAGGGGGAAGTGTAGAATGGGATCATTTTGAGGTGGCAGATGCTATGCTATCTGCCTGTACTGCCGATGCAAGACCAGCTGGGGCAAGGAGGTGAAACACTTCAGCACCACGGGTATGCTGATGCATCTCAGGAGGCACCACCCCCTCGCCCTTGCTCCTCCTCAGCCTGGCACCAGCAGGAGCGTGTCCAAAGGGAAGTCCCCCCTACCCCAAAGCCCCCATCCCCCCAAAGCAAAGGTAGGCCACCCTGGACCAGTGAGGGAAAAGTAGAGGGAAAGGGTGGCACATTCCAAAGGACAGAGCATTGGGGAGATGCCTGCTCTGGATGTCCAGCCCTTCTCCTTAGTTGAGCAGCCAGGGTTCAGGTAGCTCATGGCCCCATCCAACAAGTGCCCGCATGCACCACCCTTAGCAGGACGGTGGTGCCCTCCCTGTATGAAGCATGCAGGGAGTACTTGAGGGAGGAGCCGTGCAAGGCAGGTCCACAGGTGGCCTTGCACTTCACCTCGAACATCTGGAGCAGCCAGGGTTGAGATCATGCCTACCTCTCCCTCACAAGGCACTGGTGTGATCAGTCAGGTCATCAGTGGGCTCTCCTTCAAGCAGAGGTGACGGATGAGTCCCACATGGCAATGGAGATCATGGGGGCCATGAACCGCATGGTTCAGGGGTGGCTCATTGGGCAGGGCAAGCTCACCTGTGGTTTCATGGTCACTGACAATGGGGCCAATATGGTCAAGGTGCACTTCACAGTCAGGGATGCCTTGGATGGGGACAGGGCTCCTGATGAGGGTGCCATCACAACCAGTCAACAGATTTCAAAATGCAGGAAGGTGGCGGGCTACTTCCACCAGAGCATCAAGAGGGGCAAGGTGCTGCGGGACAAAAAGGCAGAGCTGAGCATCCCGCAGCACAAAATCATGCAGGATCTGGAGGGTCAATGGAACTCCACATACCTGATGCTTGAAAGGCTGGTCAAGCAACAGAAGGCCATCCATGAGATGGCCTTGCTTGGGGAGATTGGGATCAGCAGCCCCCTTAACAAAACAGGGTGGGATACCATCTCCCAGATCTTGGTGGTCCTCAAGCCATTTCTTGAGGTCACCGAGAGCCTCAGTGCTGGCAATGCCCTCCTTAGCCAAGTGAGCCCCATAGTGAGGGAGCTTCAGAACCAAATGGATTAGTGCCAGGGGAAAGATGTTCCTGGCTGAGGCAAGCTGCTATCACCAGAGGTGCAGGCTGAAGGACATGAAGCAGCTGAAGGAGGGCATCAAGAAATGGCTGGATCCATTGCGGTCCAGT